GAAGAGGGAGAGCGGAGAGACGCATGAGAGAGACGCACGATCGCGCAGGGAGAAGAGAGAGAGATGAGGAGGAGAAGAGTGGGAGATGGGCGGGTGGTGCGAGAACGAGAGAGAGGAGGAATCAGAAAGAGTAAGAAGGGGGAGAGAAAATGATGTGAGTAAGAGGAGGAGATGGGATAAAAGAGGGAGATGGGAGAGAGATGGCAGGCGAAAAAGAGAGAGAAAGAGTGAGCGAGAGAGATTGAGAGAGAGAGGGAGATGGAAGAGATATGGGCAGAAGCGAGAAAAGAGAGAAAGAGAGCCGATATGCTTGACTGAACGACCAGCTGTATCGTGTAATCAAACAGCAGCTGCAGAAGGTCGGTTTAATGTGGGGTCTTTCAAAGTAGTTTCGTCAATAAAACGCTGCGGAGATGATACGGGATGAAATAAGGACGAATTAGCCCACAATGCCATTACACGTGCGACAGTTTACTATTAATTTGCAGCGCCTGCGCCCACGACCACTACCAAAGCCCACCTGCGCCCCCTCTCGGGCAGCCATTGCGTAGAGGTTTCGGCTCGCCTGCGTTTGTTGTCTCGCGGTTGTGCTAGGCATGAGCATATACACCGTCTCTCGTGTGACCGGCATCACGCTGGAGTGTGCATAGCGCGGGGAGGCAAGCACGTGATCGCTGCCGCCTGGCAGACGGACACAAACGCGCGCGCCACCTACACGCTAACATTGTTCTTATATAATATATTGTAACGTATATCTATATTATATTATTTCATTATATTTATAGTTATAATTATATTATATCGTTAATACTGTTATAGTATTATTAATATTATATTATATTTATTATATCTATATTATATTGATATTATATATATATTATATTATATTAGCTATATTATATTATATTAATAATAATAATAATAATAATCTATTTTACTATAATCACTCGATTATATCGAACAGCACAGATGCAGTAACGTCGACACAATGCGATCTCAAAACCGACTTATCCGCCTAAAGTAACTCACAGAGAACTCTA